ATTTTTTAAAAAAAAAATGCTTTGGCAAGCACAGGAACTTTAAAGGTTCAACATAAGTTTAGAGGCTACACAACAGCCTTTCATCTAACCCTCTCGCCCCCAATTTAGGTCTTAAGGTTTCTCAAATGCCACTTTTGAAAACCAAAGTAAAAGGGACTAGATATATTTCTGCCCAGATTTCAGCTCTCAGCACCAGATACTCAAGTGCATCTCATACTACAGTTGAGGATCAGAAAGACTATGTCTATCAGCAATCCTTACCTTTCTCTGAAGGATGCTACTGCCAGTTCTCAACCTGGAATACTGCAATGATTAATGAAACACCTCTTTCCTTCCCCAAGATTAGGTGGAGAAGGAAAGCCAGCCTCTCACTAGCACTCACTTCCACAGCAGGATGTATACACTCCACTACCCTTGTAACGTATTTGCACTGTTGAACAGGAAAGAAGAGAGGGTAAATACAGGTCCTGAAGTAACTTGGTCACTCTGACAAAAGGAAGTGGCATAGATGAAGCAATTTTTGTAGATCTTTCTTCAGAATGTAACCTAACTTCTTCTCAGTCCCTTGACATAGATAAGCAGACTCCATATGAAGTAATCCACACCAACTTTGCCACTAACAATTTTTAGTTTCTTATTTTACAAAACAATTGAAGACCATAAGACTCGAGAGGAAAAACTTACCTCTAATGCCAGTGCAGTCTTGTCATAAGCACAGGGTACTCTCTTTTGGATAGCTTTGGCATAGACTGGTCCATTCTGTGTTGATGGCAGAGGATTGATCACTGCTCCGGGTGTACTGGATACAGAGGGAAGCGGACTTGCGGTTTGAGGCTGAGCATAAGCATGGGCAGGTTCTGGAATACCATAACTATTGGAATTCCTGTTTCCGTGCTTCCCATGAGAAGATCTGACTAGCTTTTCTACATAAGGAACAGGAATCATCCCAATCCGACCCTCCTTGTTTCTGGCGCTCCACCACTGTTCTTCTGGCTTCTCTACAATTACCAGTATCTCACCCTTTTTAAATGGAAGATCCTCAGCATCATTGCCAGGAAAGTCATAGAGAGTCCGAACATACTCCACATTTTCTTCTGCAGTGGACATAGCAGGGGCAGATCCAGATCCCATTGGTGGACTTGGATACCTAAGTTTAAAAAAGATTTGGTATAAGCGATAGCTATTGTATTTCCAGTAACAAAGCTAAGTATCAGTTTTACAGCAGGAACACCAATTGGAGGAGAATTACTTATTCAGCTTTGTAACAAAAGTATTGGCTTGGTAACACTGTGAGGCATTTCATGAGTAACTCATGCTTTCAAGTAATTATTTAAATATGCAAATTAGCTTCCCCAGAAACCCAATAAAAATCTAGCACGGATGCAGAAAATTGGGAGAAATAATGCAAAATCTTCATCCACCTGTTTTGGATTGTTGTGAGTATCTTAGGGTAGAATAAAATTAATTCTATAGCTTAAGTTACAAGAGTCACAATACATAAAAACAAATGAAAATTATTTGGGTGACTTGGGGTGGAAGGACTCTTGAAGAGCTAAATAATCCTCTTCAGTTCATCACGTTTACATTTTTAACTTCAGCATCCGCTTCTAAAGAATTCAGTAACTTCAATTCAAGTAATGCCAGACTTGAGGGAGCATAGTGGAAAAAGGGAACAAAAGTAACAAGAGGGTATGATAAACACTTTTCTAACTCAGAGCTAGAAGTCCAATGTTGTCCTTCCAATTGGTAGTACAGCATCTTTCTAACTGAATTCTACTGCTTACACACACAGAGTTTTGGGGACAGCCAGTCACATTTATATTGAAAACTCCTTTCTTTAAGAAAAGAGATAGGCAAATCCTGTGTTTTTAGGAGACAACACTTATTCTCTCTTTTCTGGAAAGTAATAGGGAATTAAGCTCCCTAATCTTATTTTTACAACTTCAACTCTCAAAGGTTATTACAATATAACAGAAAAATTATTAGTTTCAAAGTACTTATCTTTACTGCATATTTAAACACCTAATAACCTAAAAGTGACATCTTCATAAAAGACAATATGAAATACTTGCATCCACTGGTAAGAATGGAGTAAGAAATGAAAAAGCTAACCATCTAGAAATATTCCTTTGCCTTGTTAACCATAATACTACCTTTAATTTATTTACGTAATTGTTTATTACTATGCCCATCATCTGTCCAATACAGTCACTTCATTGTCTGTGATAGTATATAAGATGGTTCATCAACTGAGACTATTTTCACTGCAATCTATTTTTATCATAAATTTTATACATTATTCAAAGCAGCTGTCAGAAATCTTAACATATATAGGCCATAGCAGATACTTATTATCTAAGCTACAATAGCAAGAATGCATGTCATTAGCCTACTTGCAATAGCAAAAGAGAATTGAAAGTAAGACGGAAGTCAAATCCCTATGATTTTTGCAAGATACACCAGAAACCCTGAACAGAAAGATATACGTTTCTTCAAGACACCCTGCTGCAGCCAAAGCCGGGGGAGACAGTGTGAACCCTTTAGAGAGCGGTCACTCTGCCTAAGCAAGAGCTCAGGAACAACTGCAATGATGGTCAGAGCTCACTATTGACACAAAACAAACACAAAGCTTAAACCAGTCAGTTTTCAACTGTTTTACAAGCTTGAAATGTCATCTCTGAGAGCTAAAAGCATTGTATGGCTATATACAACAAACTACTTAATCCCACCATGAAAACCACCTCTTCATACTGTACTTTATGAAATTAAAACAATCAACAGCCTTCAAAAGCACAAGCACCTGAGTGCAATGTTCCTCTGAAAATGTCAGAGAGATAAGAATTAGCAATAACAGTTCTGAAGCACGTACCTGTCCACCCCTATTCTAAATGTAGTTCATTAACTAAAAATAAATTTAAACAAAAAAAAACCCCAAACCGGAAATGCTACCTCTTGGCCTCTCTCTTGCAGCAGGAAGTCTCCTTCAAACAGAATTTCAAACCATCAACCATGTCATTGATTTTTCTAGGAGTTTAGAACAAAAAATCAGGCTAAGGTAAAACCACCTAGTCGATCCCATTTGTTGCTTTATAAAAAAGCTTGTCAGTTCACAGTAGGCTGGGTCCCATCTGTCTCTGTATGCTGAGAGAACAATATGCAATCAAAACCTTGAAAATAAGGTGGTACTAAAATGTTCATAAAACATTTCAGACAAGACTCATAACAAATACCAAGTGAGCAAGTGGAATCAGCTAAGTTTTCAAGTGTTTTGAGAAAGCCAAGTCAGTCATTGCCATAAATGATTAAGAACAAGTTTTTACATCCAGAAAGGCACAACAGTATCCAGGTTAAGGAGAAACGAGATAAGCATAAAGATTGCTTCAGTGTAGACTTTTTTTCCTCCCAAGTGTCCACAGTTTTAAGCATACACATAACACTGGGCAGCTCCATTTAGGCATTCCGGCAATGGTGAAAGTAATTTTTTTTCACCTGCCCATCTCTCTAGCCATAGCACAATCACTACCTAGAAGACTTCTCAGCAACTTTAAGAGTTCTTGAAGCTACTGCTTTCTGTCACATCCCTCCCATCACCTGACAGCTTTACAGGAAGACTTTTTTTGACCACTTGAGTTTTTCAAATTGATAAGCTATTGTCAACCTTTGACAAGTTACTGATTGTCATTAAGAACTGGCCTATGCCAAGGTTAAATTGTGACTATAAACTTCAAAGTTATTCTTCCCCCCTTAAGAACTCGCTAATCTGCAAAACATAGTAAGATTTTTAAACTGCATAATTTAGAAGTAAACCGACTCTAATTTCTTTTTTTTTTTTAATGTGTCACTACTTTTCTAGCTTTTATTTCACTTCATTCTACCCAGGAAGCCCAAAAGCTTCGAAATAAGATACTGGGAAAGGCTTTATTAATTAAAAATGAGGAATATGTTCTAGAGGTCTTGATAAGCAGTTTACTGACGCAAGTTGCAGGTATGTCCCACGTTGAGAACAGGACAAAGAATGAGCTCATAGCCAAGTCACATTTTCCCATCCTCCTAGAACAGCACTTCTCACTGTAGTGCATGCAGTATGCAGATATAGATGAACAGTGACATAACCAAACTGTGAGAAATAAATGTTTTACATTTTTGGGGGGTGGAAATGCCACTCTAGAGGTTTGGGAAATGCTGTCCTACAACGTGTTAAAGCTGACTTAACAGGGTGAAGCATTCTAATCACATAAAAGCCTGTTCTATTGTAATCAGTGTGGATGCAGGGGCAGACAGCAACTGAAGCTCAGAGGCTGTACTTCAATCACCGAGAAGACTTGTGAATCAGCTTCTCAACCATCCTAGGAACAGAACGACAATACCAGAAGAAAAGGTTGACACAAAGCACGACCACACCCTCTTGCAAGGCAATTATAGCCAGTGTTAGAGATGTACAGGGTACCTTCACATATGCCTACACACACTGCAAGGACAGGCCCCGTGCATCATATGGATGATCTGACTGAAAGAGCAACCCGTAATGGTCACTGAGATCCAGAGTGCTAAGAAGCACCACTGTTAGAAACAGGTTCAAACGAGGGCCATAAACAAATGCTTCCTTAGTATGCATAGCATGGCCCTACATCCAGCGTTAAGATCCTGCAGCTACTAGGTTGGACGAAGACACCCCCCTCCCCACCAACCCCCCCCCCCCCCCCCCCCCGCCTTGCACCACCTCGAGCAAAGATGGCAGTGGGTGGGGCGCAGGGAGGGTGGCACTCACCTGGGCGCAGGCTCGATGAGGGTGGTCGTGTCCAGGTAGTGGATCTTGTAGAACTCCAGCAGGGCGGGCAGGTGCTCAAACTCCTGGTCGCCGATCTTAAAGCGGCGGTTGGGCAAGGAGTTAATGATGTAGTGGGAAACCCGGGAGTTCTCGGACACCGAGAGCACGTAGTCCCCCGGGCAGGTAGACGAGTCCCGCACCAGGAACATGCCATGCCGCTGCCCTTGCAACCGCGTCTGCGCCTCCGCCCGAGACACCGGGCCCACGTACCAGCTGGAGCGGTCCGACGAATCGAAACGAGCGGCGGAGGACATGGCTCCGGGCGGGGAAGGGGAAGGGAGGGGGGGAAGGAAGGTGAAGAGCCCGAAGGCCCAGGCGGAGGAAGAGACCCAGAGAAGGG